TCATTTCTAATTTTTAATTTATTTTGTCATTTTGTTCTGGTATTTTCTTTCAAAATTATTCTAGGGTTTTCTCTGTGTTTTCCTCAATACTGTCAGTGTTTTCCTTGATCTGTCTCTCAATTCATTGAAGATACCTAAATATAATTATTTTGAATTCCTCATCAGAGAGTTCTAATGCTGCATCTTCCTCAGGGATGTGTTTTGGGTCTATATCCTGGTCCCTTGTTTCTCTTGCTTTATCTTGCTTCTTTGTGTGGACCGTGATACTCTGTTGTCTCCGAGGCATTGTGACGTTTTTGTGTTTATATTTAATTGCTGATTGTATGTTGGAGTGACTTGCCCACGATTTTAATTTTCTTTGTATGTTATCTACACAAGCAGGGTACTGTGCTATGCTCCTCCATTCACTAGTTGACAGCACTTATACTCTTACCACCTGTCTCCCTTCCTGTTGTCAGCCTCTTGTATGTCCCTGCCAACCTTGGCAAACAGAACCTATTCTTAGGGCCCTAGAATCTGAATGAGAATGCTATCACTTTAAAATCCAAAAGGTTGCTACTTACATACATTCAAAATGGGTGCACCCTCAGTCACTTTAAATATCCAAAATGGCTGCCACATGTAAACAGTCAAAATCACTGCGCCCTCCAGACAGCAGAAAGTCAACAGCTCAGGTTGTCTCCCTCCTTGCTGTTTTCCTTCCCAGTCATAGGCCACCAACACAGTTGTCCCTGCAGCCCCTGGTGACCAGGGCTGATCTTTAGGTCAATTCTCAGGACCCAACACCACTTGGAAATGTTCAGGCTGTTGGTACCGTCAGAGTAGCTGACAGTCCGCAGCTCCAACCGTCTCTGTACTCACTGTTTTTGTTCAGGTTTTTCCACTAGTTGGTGCCTAATCCACTTCCGTATAGTTCCTTTCAAAGCTCAAGGCTCCAGGATTATCTTCTGTATCTCTGTCAACTGTTTTTTCTTTTCTTTGTTGAAGAAGGTCTGTGTCACTTGTCTGCCTATTCCTCCATCTTACCAGAAGTCTGTTCAGCTAATTTTTGACAAAGGGCTGAAATCCATTACATGGGAAGAGATCATCTCTAACAAATTGTGCTGGCAAAACTGGAGATCCATTTACAAAAAAAATGAAACAAGATCCGCACCTCCCACCATACACAAATACTAACTCCAAATGGATCACAGACTTAAATGTGAAACCTAAAACTATAAAGTTCCTCAAGGAAAAAATAGGGGCAAATTTAGGGGCCCTAATTTATGGCATAAATAGACTGTCAAGCATAACCCAAAATGCACAAACAATAGATGATATACTAGATGAATGGGACCTTCTAAAAATTAAATTTTTATATACTTTCAAAGACTTCTCCAAAAGAGTAAAAAGAGAACCTACAGATTGGGAATAAATATTCGGCAATGACATATATGACAAAGGACTTATCTCTAAAACTTGTAGACAACTCCAACACCTCAACAACAAAAAGACAAACAATCCAATTTAAAAATGGGCAGAAGACATGAATAGATACTTCACCAAAGAGGATATTCAGGTAGCCAACAAACACATGAAGAAATGTTCAGGATCATTAGCCATTAGAGAGACACAAATCAAAACAATGAGATGTCACTGGCCCCAGAACTGTTAGCAAAGTTCAACAAGACAGAAACAACAAATGCTGGCAAGGATGTGGAGAGAGTGAAACTCTCACACACTGCTGGTGGGTTCTAAAGTGATACAACCACTGTGGAAAGCAGTATGGTGATTGCTTAAAAAGCTGGATTAGAAATAACATTTGACTCAGCAATCCCATTACTAGGTATATTTTTTGAAGAAATGAGAGCCAGGGCAAGAACAGATATATGCCTTGTTCATCAAAATACTATTTACAATAGCAAAAAGATGGAAACAATCTAGGTGCTCATCAACAGAAGAATGGATACCCAAACTATGGTACATACACACAATGGAATACTATGCAACGCTAAAGAATACTGTAGAATCTGCAAAACACTGCATAACATGCATGAACTTGGAGGACACTATGCTGAGTGAATCAGTCAATCACAGAAGGACAAATACTGTATTTGGTCTATTGTAAAAAGTTAAGGAAAGGTTTATATATGGAAGGAAACTTTCTATGTTGGTTACCGGGGGTGGGTGGGGAGGGGAGAAAACACTGCAAAACTAAAAACAAAAAATAAAAAAAATTTCAAAAAGCCAAAATTTAAAATGTTACAAATTCAGAGAGTTCTGTTAATCATTTACTTCTATTAAAAGAGGCTTTTTGTTTGTTTTTTGTCTCTTTTACCTTTTTTATTATGGTATTATATATAATAAAACTTTGTCATTTCAACATTTTTTACATGTACAATTAAGTGACAATTACACTCATCATGTTAGACAATCATCACCATTATCCATTTCCAAATTGTTCTATCATCCTTAACAGAAACTCAGTGACCCTTAAGCAATAGCTCTTCTTTTCCCTCTGCTACTCCCTCTGGTATCCTCGAATAAACTTTGGTCTCTATACATTTGCCTAGTCTAGATATTTCATAAAAGTGAGATCACATAATATTTGCCCTTTTGCGACTGACTTACTTCACTCAGCATGTTTTTGAAGTTTATCCATGTTGTGGCATGTATCAGAACTTCATTTCTAAAACAATACTTTTTGATGACCATATATAGGTCAAAAGAGAACTAATATGTACTTTCTGGTTTGAAGTAAACATACCTGTAGTCATAGCTTGATTGGCAGAAATGCAAGCCATAGTGACAGTGTGAGCAGGAGTCTTGTCAGAGAAGCCAGCTCCCAGGGCAGCCTTCAGGAAATCACAGTGAATGATCACTTATAAGGAAAGTGCAACATGTGAACATGCTTTGAACATCACTTCTCTGTGTGGTGAATCAGTAGAGGGTTTTAGTTTAATAATCTGCAGAGTAACTCTGTATTGAAAATAAAATTAAGCCTATCACAGAAATGGTTTACTAATTTTTCATCTAGTCATTAATGACAGACACTCTGTAGAATTCCTGGTAGCCTGTTTCCAATGTGGTATACAAGGCTTCAACAGGCTTTTCTTTCACTAATTTCTTACCAGTGCTTTGCTCAGAACTTTCAAGCTATTTATACAATTTGATTTTAATTTGCTTACATTTTCAAGTAGATTTAAAGTAAACTTGTTAAATACATTTCATGGAATAATGAAATATATTATGAGGTGTGGTCCTCATGATCTGTGTCCCTGCCTAGGCCTAGTAGTAAAGCAAAAGTTGTCACACATGAAAATAACTTGTGAAGAATTGCCCACTGAAAAACAAAGCTTCCACGCAGGCACCCACCCTGCTCCACACTAAGGTCTAAATTCACTGCTGCCAGCTAGTTTCACTCACCAACTTTCCAGTATTTCAGACAAAACAACATAGCGCTACTGAAAAGCAGAATTGAAAAGCTTGCCAAATACACAGGATCTTCAGTTGATAAAAGTAACTTTAGAAAACTAATCACAAGTCAGCCATGGACGGTTTAGACCAGTAAGCTTCTGGAAAAGAGGAGACTGGCCAGGATGATGGTAGGACAGGTGCTTCAGAAGAATATAATTTGAGAGGCCTTTAGAAAATCATATTCTCCCTCCAATTACTCTTATAAAAATGGCTTCTATTATGACGGCACAGAAAGTCAAGCATGAAATGACGGTATCTACTATTTTATTACACTATTTATTGAGAAATTATGGTGCCAAAAGAACAATCAATGCCTGATTCTATTTTTGTTTATGTAAAGAATCAATTCATAGGTGCAATTATAATACACTTATTTTTAATAACATTAAAGTTTTACTTTAAAAACAAAGCTCCCAACTCCCCTTGTCCCCAAACTATTTACTATGAAATTCTGGCTCCCGACAAAGGGAATTCTGAAACTCTTTCAGTATTCTTAGATAAAAAGTCTCTCATAATTTGGTAAAGTAAACATGTTCTCAAAGTCTGAATTAAAGAAGTTCCATGTTTCTTAACTGATTTTTACCTTTAGCCTTATACTACCCTCATACAATTTACTATACCCTTCACCCTTACACTATCTTTGCACTCTTCATCATAACCTATAGAAATATAAATGTATTACAGTAGTGTGCATGCAACATAACTGTATTCTGGCCTTCTTAGGTAGGCTTGATGTCAAGTACCCAAGCTATGTCTTACATAGAAATAATTTGCTAAAAACTACCCCTTGGCAACTGCATGTCAGCCTCTCCACTTAGACTAATTCAAAAGAAAGTGAGAGGATCAATTGATGCAGAAAAGGCATTTGATAAAATCCAACACCCATTTCTGATCAAAACTCTCAGCAAAATAGGAATAGAAGGGACATTCCTCAACATAATAAAAGGCATTTATGCAAAACCAACAGCCAATATTACCCTCAATGGAGAGAGACTGAAACCATTCCTCTTGAGAACAGGAACTAGACAAGGATGCCCGCTATCACCACTTCTATTCAACATTGTACTGGAAGTCCTAGCCAGGGCCATAAGGCAAGAAAGGGAAATCAAAGGCATCCAAATTGGTAAGGAAGAAGTCAAACTATCCCTATTTGCTGATGATATGATCCTATACCTAGAAAACCCAAGAGATTCAATCAAAAAACTACTGGAACTAATTGAGGGATTTAGCAACGTCGCAGGATATAAGATCAACATCCAAAAATCAGTTGGATTCCTCTACACCAGCAAAGAGATTGCTGAAAAAGAAATAAGAAAATCAATACCGTTCTCAATAGCTACCAAAAAAATAAAATACTTGGGAATAAATCTTACCAGAGACACAAAAGACCTCTACAAAGAAAACTATAAAAAGCTACTTCAAGAAACCATAAAAGACCTAAATAAATGGAAAAACATCCCATGCTCATGGATAGGAAGACTGAACATTGTGAAAATGTCAGTTCTACCCAAAGCAATCTATACATTCAGTGCAATCCCAATCCAGATCCCATCAACATTCTTTAGGGATATGGAAAAAATGATCACTAACTTTATATGGAAAGGAAAGAGACCTCGGATAAGCAAAGCACTACTGAAGAAGAAAAACAAAGTAGGAGGTCTCACATTGCCGGATCTCAAAACCTACTATACAGCCACAGTAGTCAAAACTGCCTGGTATTGGTTCAATGACAGATACATAGACCAATGGAATAGAATTGAGAACCCAGGTATAGATCCATCAACCTATAGTCAGCTGATCTTTGACAAAGGCCCCAAATCCATTAAGTGGGGAAGAGAATGTTTGTTTAATAAATGGTGCTGGCAAAACTGGAGATCCATTTGCAGAAAAATCAAACAAGATCTGTACCTCACACCACACACAAAAACAAACTCCAGATGGATCAAAGACTTAAATGTGAAACCTAGAACTATACAGTTTCTCAAGGAAAATTTAGGCTCAAACTTAAGGGCCCTAATATTTGGTATAAATAGACTACCAAGCATAATTCAAAATGCACCAACAGCAGAAGAGAAGCCAGATGATTGGCACCTTCTAAAAATTAAATGTTTATGTGCTTCCAAAGACTTCTCCAAAAGAGTCAAAAGAGAACCTACAGATTGGGAAAAAATATTTGGTAATAACATATCTGACAAGGGACTTATCTCTAGAATTTATAGAACACTCCAACACCTCAATAACAAAAAGACAAACAATCCAATTAAAAAATGGGCAGAAGACATGAACAGACACTTCACCAAGGAGGATATTCAAGCGGCCAACAAACATATGAAGAAATGCTCACGATCATTAGCTATTAGAGAGATGCAAATCAAAACAACAGTGAGATACCATCTTGCTCCAGCACTAGTAGCAAAGTTCAACAAGACAGAAAATAACAAATGCTGGCGAGGTTGTGGAGAGATTGGGACTCTCATACACTGCTGGTGGGACTGTAAAATGGTACAACCATTGTGGAAAGCAGTATGGCGATTCCTTCAAAAGTTGGAAATACAAATACCATTTGACCCAGCCATCCCATTACTAGGTATATACCCTAAAGAAGTGAGAGCCATAACAAGAACAGATATATGCATGCCGATGTTCATCGCAGCACTATTTACAATAGCCAAAACTTGGAAACAACCTAGATGTCCAACAACTGAGGAATGGATAACCAAACTTTGGTACATTCACACAATGGAATACTATGCAACGCTAAAGAATAATGTAGAATCTGCAAAACACCGCATAACGTGGATGAACTTGGAGGACATTATGCTGAGCGAAATAAGTCAGTCACAAAAGGACAAATATTGTATTAGTCCGTTATTGTGAAAGTTAAGGAAAGGTTTATCTATTGGAGGACATTTTCTTTGTTGGTTACCAGCGTTGGGAGGGAAGGGGAGGGAATGCTGTTAGATAGATAGAGATAAATATTGATTTGGGTGAAGAGAAGGGCAATGTACCAAATGTGAGTGACCAATATGGCAGCATTGAGGATGAGAAAGACAGAGAGAGTTACATGGGCAGTACAAACAACAAATATGAACCCCTTTGTAAATACAATACTGAGTTGTCAATGAAAGCAAACATGGGTATAGGGACAGATAGATGGGTGAACAAGCTAAACAATTATGTATGTCTAAATGGAGAGTGTATCCAAGATCATATACAGGGTTGGCAGACAATGGGCCTTTCGAAGAGTATGAAGGGATGGACACTGGGAGGAGGTAACTATGGGGAGGAAGTGGGAGGGGAGCTGCTGCATTGTAAATTTTGGTCAATGACATGAGACAAAGTATATGTGAACTGCTGTATGAAAAGTGAATTTACTCTGTAAATCTTCACCCAAATCCTAATAAAAAAAAAAAAAAAGAAAGTGAGAGGCAAGTTTCAGAGAGTGAGCGAACTCTACACTGGGGTAAGTCAAAGGGCATTCTGAGGTTGTAGTAGTCTGCTCTTCACAAGGTCTTTTCCAACATGTGTTCCCCTTGGCCCCAGCTGACTCTCAGGACTGAAGGAGCTTGAAATAGAAGTAGCTGCTGGTAACCCTTGACCACATGCTTCTATTTAAAGTTTGAACAGCTCTCAAGGCAAGTGCAGGCTCTAGATAGTACACACTACCATGAAGGAGGATGATGTCCATTAAACTAGAGAACAGAGAAATATGCTGAGGCCTTTCAGTAGTCAGGTTCATGGGAACTCAGCACCATAAGCCTTTTAGGATCTTGTATTAACGTAATTAATAGAGACAAAAGACAAAATTTCTTTAGCAAGAAATTCTTCAGCTGGGAAAAGTAATAAGCTTTTAGGTCAAAATGCAACTTTTGAATTACACTCTCATAATGTGCCCACCCTCTACCCAACTTTTCCCTGTAGCCCCTGAAAAAATGACCAAGATTTCAACACACCAGCCACTCCTCAGAAGGAAGACTGGGCAATCTACTTCCGTAGAGATACTGCCTTGGAAACCCAAGGAGAGGTCACTATGAGTCGGAACCGACTAGACAGCAGTGAGTTGAGCATTAGCATAAGGCTATAATGAGACTCACGGTGACCCCATGTGTGCAGAATAGAACTGCTTCACTAAGTTTTCAAGGCTGTGTGTGACATTTCAGTGCAGATCACCAGGCTTGTCTTTCCAGGGGTCTTTTTTTTTTTTAAAAAAAGGCTGTGTAACATTTTATTGTACAGATTATACATTTTTTTTGTATTTTTAATTTACATTTTATTAATTTTGTACATATTGTTAGGGGTCAGGCATTTGTTGTTGCTGTTTCCTCCCCTCCACCCCTGCTAACCAACAAAGTTTCCTTCCATATATAAACCTTTCCTTCCAAGGAGTCTCTTGGTAGGCCTGAACCACCAGCTGTGTGCCACCCAGGGTCTCCCAGTACAGGGCTGATAGACGGAACACGTAAAGAAAATGTTCCAGAAAAGTATAGAAAATTATTAGTGGGAACTTCTTCAAGCCAGCTCCTGTGTCTATTTTGTTTTTTAATATATTTTAATGTATAATTTACATAAACAAAATTTCCAGAAAAATACTCAGGGAAAAACATTATGGCTTTAGTTTTCAGAGAGAAGAACAGAAATATGGAGAAATTTGAAACCAATTTAAGATTTACTTTTTAAGTGCTCTTATATGAGTCACTCTTGTTATTTTTAGAATGTAAAAGTTGAAAATATATTGTGAATATCTTGATGTGTTCATAAAATCATCATATTTGGTACATTTAGAAATGTGGAGGTCCAGGGACAAAAAAAAAAAATTCAGGGGGAAAAGAAACATCTTCCTTTTCTCCAACAATATAGAGTTAATTTTTGTGGGCTACAGTCATGCCAGGCCTTCTGCAGTTTTAACATTTACTGAGAGGTACAAAGGCAGGCTGAATAAGTTCTTTCAGCTCTGTTCATCTTCTCCCTTCTCTCTAGACTAACAAAGATGGAAGTTACCACAACTATACTGAGCACAACAATATGGCAAACATGGACTAGAAACAAGGAAAGGGTTTAGCACAGTGAAATGACCCAACTTTGACCAAATAATCACTTTCAAACTGAAATAAAATCCAGATGATATGTTTGGACTATTCATTATGAAATGCCTCTAGGACATGTCACAGAAATTCCAAGGCCTGTCATTATATAGGTTACCTAGTAAACATTACATGGAACTGTGCCAACTAGGGTAAAAGTAAACCTCTGTGAAAGTTTTTTTAAAAAACTGCCTTACGTGCCTTCTAGTTCATGGAACAAATGAGTAAGCAAGGTTACCTCCAACTAACAAAAACCAAGTTATGAAATGAGTTCTCTGAAAATGTTGAAAATTTAAGTAAATTATAAAAGCCATAATAGGTAACATTACTAGGAACAACAGCCAGTTCTGTCATATTTTCCTAACATGAGTGGCAGACAAGTTAGCATTTCTACAACCAGCTCTAATAACATGATGTCAGTTGATTTACAGTATAATTCTTTTATATATTAAATAACATTCATTGTTCAATTTGTGTATATATGTTAAGAGGCTAATAAACTTAAGTTTGATTTGAATTGGCACAGTCAAGGCCAACAAAAAAGCATAAAAGCAGCTTTCTTCCTTCCCTCATGGTTCTCATGCTAATGACGAAGCCATTTTCCACTGCATTACCCTATGCTGGGCTACCCAACGCTTCAATATTACTCAATCTGTAAAATCATACTTTCAGTCAAATGTGACTTACTTAATGGATTTTAAAAAGTAAATTCTATTAATTGGAACCCAAAATTACTTTCTTACCAGTCTTTTTTAAAACTATAAAATTTGTTTTACTCACCTCTCTTGCAACATTACTTGTTTTCACTTCCTGAATAACTGTGCCAAAGATGAGATAATCAACAACTTCCTTTGGGACATTAGTCCGATGCAACAAACCCCTGATAGCAGAAATTCCAAGCAAAGAAACATTTCATATATCAAGTGCTATAAATCATCACATAAAACATTATACTTCTTTAAAAAGGTTAGCCCTGAATTTAAAAAGATGGGACTGCATCTTTTAATTTTACAAGTGTTTGACATCATATCAAAGAACCAATGAATGAAATAGAGTTCAGAAAGGTCGACATTTGATGTTCAATTGGCAAGAAAAAATTAGCAGAATCAAAAATAACCTGGAATAGGATAAAACAAATACATTAATGTGAGTAGAAACCAATGTCTTCAGTAAAAAGAGCAAAGAGAGGCAAATATAAAATCAAAGAAATGAAGGAAAAGCCCAGGTATATTAAATTCGTACTTGAAATAGCAATATAATAACATGATTTAAATAACACTGCCCATTCACAGAAATCAGAAGCAATAAAAATCCAATAGTAATGAGGATACCTTGCAGCCAGACTTGGTTTCTAAATGCCATTTCTCCATTAAAGAAAACAAGGCTTCTTAAAAAATGACTGATATCAGGTCTGAGGCTGAGAAAGTACAAAGTGAACCTCATTAATCTTTTTGTGACAGAAAATAAGGAAGTGCTCAAAGACCAGTGGAGCTGTATCAAAAACAAGAAATTAGGTTGTACACTTCTGTCAACTCATTAAATAACTAGACACTTAAAATCAGTCCACTTTACTGTATGTAAACTGTATTTCAAAAATACTATATTAAAAACAAAAAGGACAAAGGAGTCAGCTTCAAGGAGCTTCCACTGATAAAATGTGGGAAAATATGAGCATTGCAAAGAATGACTACATTTGATTTTCATACAATGAATAAATAAAAATTCATATATCCCTATATTAAAAAAAAAAAAAAAAGGAAAGCTGTTCTTTATAGAACAATGCTGCTGTTGTTAGGTGCCATCAAGCTGATTTTGATTCATAGAAAAAATACCAGCCAATAAATGTAGGAAGAACAGAATTAGAAAAATAACAAATCTGCAATCTCTAATGTAATAACTAATTTAGGCAAAACGTTATCAATGGCTGCTAACAGCATTTGGTGAAAATTGTTGGGGACTATAATATTCACATAGTATTAATGTATCACTTTACAGATTATTAATTACAAAGGAAGAATGCACCTTTCCAATCAAAAGATCTGGCAATCTAACCACCTGCACAGCGCGGTCAGACTTAGCACCACACATCATCTGCCTCTTGCTGTGATATGATATGAACTACATTCACATATGAAGTATTCTCACCAAAAACTGTTTAAACTGAATCTAATCAAGCCTCTAGACTTAAAGGCCAGTTTACAGAAAATTCAGAGAAGAGAAAATTTAATTATCATCACAAAGAAAAATCCAGAATATGGGACATTCTACAGGACAGATGGTCTGGACTTTTCAAAAAGTCAATGTTATAGGGGGAAAAAAGAAAAAAAAGTTTCAAATTAAAAGAGACATATCCATTTATAATATGAACTTTGATTGGAGCCTGGTTATTCTGGGGGAAAAAAACTATTAAAAAAGACATTCAACTGAGTACAATCTAATCATAACTAGATATTATGAGTAAGTTATCATGGAATCACTGTTACTATCTTAGGTGTGATAATGGTTTAGCAGCAAGGGCCCTTATTTCCAGGGAAGTATTCATAACTGAAGTGTCATAACTTACTGTCAAATAGTCCAAACTACATAGATAGAGCAAATGCGCCAAAATGGTAACAATGACTGAATCTAGGTGAAGTGTGAGTGAAGTAAAGGGCATTTAGGCATTCACTACATCATTCATCCAATTTTATTATACAGTTTTTTTTAAATATAAAGTTGAAGAAAAACTTGTAAACTTCTAGCCTATGAGCCAATAAATCCCACTTAATAAGCGAATTTGAGTTGAATTTCTCTTTAGATTTACAACTAAAAGGCTCCTTCCTGATACACGACCAAAAGGAAAAATGAGTAAACAAGCAATTCACAGATTAAAAATGGCCAATAAACAAAATAAAAAATATTCAACCTCAGTAATAATAAAACTTTTTAAAAATTTAAGCAAAGTTTCATTTTTACTTATCAGATTGGCAAGAGTTAAAAATACGGCTGATACAGAATTCTGGTAAGAATGTATCTACGTCAATAGGCTCTTCCATATACAGCTGATAAAAGTATAAATTGTTATAGCTTTTATAGCACCATTATCAGAAATAGGAGAAAAGGTGGATTGGAGCAAAAGATAATTTTGATTTTTCACATGCTGAGCTTGAGGTATCTAAGAAAATAGGTCAAATTTAGATTTTTGGAAGCTTTCTGCATAAAATAAAAGATTTTTTTAAAGGAGAGCTAACTCTAAGGACTGAAACTTACAAAACATCTTTTAAAAGGAGAAAGAGGAAAAGAATTCTTTTTTTTTTTTTTTTTAAGTAGAGAAAATCAGTGAGTTGGGAGGAGAATCATGAAATATTAAGAAGTCAAAGGAAGACACTTTTGAGTAGGGCTGAGAGTATCAAATGCTACAGAGCACAAAGAGATCTAAATCTGAGAAAAGACTGATGCATTTACTGATCACAAAGTCAGTATTAAGAGAAGTTTCCAAAGTATGTCTACAAGGTAGAACAATGAGAAGAGAAACTGGGTTATTATAAGATTAAGAGTAAATGAAATAATAAGGAAAACAAAGCAACTGCTGTAGATCACTTATTCTTGAAGTTTGGTAGGAAGAGAAGAAACAGAACCAGAGTTAGAATGGGCAGAAAGGTCACTGGAGAGTTTTCAAGCTAGAAAAGAAGTGTGGCTGGTTGAAGACACAAGGCAAGGTATTAATGGAAATGGAACAAGAGAAACCTTACTGGCACCACAGAAACAGGCACACAATTTTATGACTCTCACCAAATTATTCATATATCTCAATCTCATTTACATTTAATTTTACATTTTTACTTGGTACACACATGAATCTTCAGGTGTCTTTCTAGGGTCCTTTTTTTGTTTTTTTAAGTTGTGATTTGGGTGAAAGTTTACAGAGCAAATTAATTTTTCATATAATAGTTCATACACATTTTGTTTCATGACATTGACTACAATTCCCTACAATGTAACAGTTCTTTTCCCACTTCCTCCCGTGGTTACCTCTTCCCTGTGTCCTCCCCTCCCATGCACTCCTGCCCCCTAAGCAGTCTCCCTGTGCAAATGCTGCCTTTCTGTTCTCCCATGATTGATCAGTCCAAGGAATGTATCTACCTGATGTAAGTGTTCACCCTATATGCCTGTCTATTGTTTGACTAGAAGCTACAGGAGTGAGTTCGGTTCCAGACCTGAAGGGTAACTAGAGGCCACAGTCTCAAGGGTCTCACCAGGCTCTATCAGGTCAGCAAATGTGTTTTTTGGTGTTTTTTTTTATTTTTTTATGATTTTGAGTTTTGTTCCACATTGTTCTCCCACTCCATCCATGATCTCCTTCACTGATCCCTTTCTGAGTGGTTGACAATGGTAGCCAGGCACCATTTAGTTCTTCTGGTCTCATGGTCATATAGGCTGAGGTTTCTAGGCTCCTTTCTAAATTATCTGGATTGGAGCAAAAGATAATTTTGATTTTTCACATGCTGAGCTTGAGGTATCTAAGGAAATAGGTACAGGCCGTTCAGCTGCCTCTGCACACGCATTAAGTTCCTGTTTTAAAAAAATGATCAAATACATGAACTGTGTTTAGGCTGATCAATCTAGTCCTGCCTTGTGTATGTAAATAATTTATGGCTAGCTAGGGGAGATGCCAAGCAGGAAGTAGGAGCTGGTGGGATGGCCAAAACAGGTAAGGGGAGAAGACAAGCAGGAAGCGAAGTGGTTTGAAACAGCTAAGGGAGACGAACTTGTCAGTTTGTCCTACTGTGGTAGCTTGCATGTTGTTGTGAGGCTGGAGACTATGCCACCACTCCTTCAAATGCCAACAGGGTCACCCATGGTGGACAGGTTTCAGTGGAGCTTCCAGACTAAGACAGACTCAGAAGAAGGATGAGGCCATCCACTTCTCAAACAATTGGCCAGTGAAAACTTTATGAATAGCAGTGAAACACTCTCTGATATATTACTGGAAAACTTTATGAATAGCCCCGAAACACCATCAGATACAGTGCTGGAAGATGAGCCTCTCAGCTTGGAAGACACTCTCAAAATACACCTAGGAAAGATCTGCCTCCTCAGAGTAGAGCTAACCTTAATGACGTGGATAGAGTAGAGCTCTTGGGACCTCCATTTGCTGATGTGGCACAACTCAAAATGAGAAGAAACAGCTGCAAACATCCATTAATAATTAGAACATGCAAAGTACAAAATATGAATCTAGGAAAATTGGAAGTTGTCAAAAATGAAATGGAACACATAAAGATCAATATCCTAGGCATTAGTGAGCTGAAATGGACCAGTTTTGGCCATTCTGAATCAGACAACCATATGATCTACTATGCCGGGAATAACAAACAGAAGAATGGCATGGCATTGATTATCACAAAGAATGCTTCAAGATCTATCCTGAAGTACAATGCTGTCAGTGATAGGATAATATCCATAAGCCTACAAGGAAGACCAGTTAATACTACTATTATTCAAATTTATGTACCAATCACCAAAGTCAAAGATGAGGAAACTGAAGATTTTTACCAACTTCTGCAGTCTGAAATTAACTGAACATGCAATCAGGGGTGTGTTAATTATCACTGGTGATTGGAATGCAAAAGTTGGAAGCAAAGAAGAATCACCGGAAGTTGGAAAATTTGGCCTTGATAGAAGTAACGCTGGAGATCACACGACAGAATTTTGCAGGACTAATGACTTATTCATTGCAAATACCTTTTTTCAACAACACAAATGGTGTTTATACATGCGGACTTCACCAGATGAAGTACACAAGAATCAAACTGACTACCTCTGTGGCAAAAGGCAATGGAAAAGCTCAATATCGTCAGCCAAAACAAGACCAGGAGCTGATTATGGAACAGACCATCAACTGCTCATATGCAAGATCAACTTGAAGTTGAAGACAATTAAAACAAGTCCACATGAGCCAAAATATGACCTTGAATATATCCCTCTTAAATTTAGAGACAATCAAAAGAAGAGATTTGATGCACTGAATACCAATGATGGAAAGGCAGAGGAATTATGGGATGACATCAAGAACATCATCCATGAAGAAAGCAAAAGGTCATTAAAAAGACAGGAAAGGAAGAAAAGACCAAAACAGATGTCGGAAGAGACTCTGAAACTTGCCCTTGCGTGGAGAGTAGTTAAAGCAAATGGAAGAAATGATAAGATAAAAGAGCTGAACAGAAGATTTCAAAGAGCAGCTCGAGAAGACAAAGTCAATTATTATAATGAAACATGCAAAGACATGGAATTGGAAAGCCAAAAGGAAAGAATATGCTCTGCATTTCTCAAGCTGAAAGAATGGAGGAAAAAATTTAAGCCTAGAGTTGCAATACTGAGAGATTCTATGGGTAAAATATTGAATGATGCAGGAAACATCAAAAGAAGATGGAAGGAATACAGAGTCACTGTATGAAAAAGAACTGGCTGATGTTCATCCATTTCAGGAGGTGGCATATGATCACCAACCAACGGTATTGAAGGAAGAAGTCAAAGCTGCACTGAAGGAAGTGGCAAAACACAAGGATCCAGGAATTGAAGGAATACCCATTGAGATGTTTCAACAAATGGATGCTGTCCCGGAGGCACTCACTCAGTCATGCCAAGAAATCTGGAAGACAGCTACCTGGCCAACTGCCTGGAGGAGATCAATATGTGTACCTAATCCAAAGAGAAGTAATCCCACACAATGTGGAAATTATCAAACAATATCATTAATATCACATGTAAGTAAAATCTTACTGAAGATAATTAAAAAATGGCTGAAGCAGTATACTGACAGAGAACTTCCAGAAATGCAAGCTGGATTCAGAAGGGGACGTGGAACCAGGGCTATCATAGCTGATATCAGACAGATCTTGGCTGAAAATAAAGAATATCACAAAGATGTTTGTTTATGTTTTATTGACTATGCAAAAGCATTCGATTGTGTGGATCATAACAAATTGTGGATAACATTGAGAAGAATGGGAATTCTGGAACACTTAAATGTGCACGTGAGGAACCTGTACATAGGCCAGGAGGCTGCATGGTTTAAAATCAGGAAGGGAGTGCGTCAGTGTTGTATCCTTTCACCATACTTATTCAATCTGTATGCTGAGCCAATGATCCCGAAAGCTGGACTACATGAAGAAGAACGTGGAATCAGGATTGGAGGAAGAGTCATTAACAACTTGTGATACACAGACGACACTTTACTTTGCTGAAAGTGAGGATGACTTGAAGCACTTACTGATGAAGACTGAAGATTATAGTCTGCAGTATGGATTACATCTCAATATAAACAAAACAAAAATCCTCACAACTGGACCAATAAGCAGCATCATGATAGATGGAGAAAAGACTGAAGTTGTCAAAGACTTCATATTACTTGGTTCTACAATCAATACCAATGGAAACAGCAGTCAAAACATCAGAAGATGTATTGCATTGGGCAAATCTGCTGCAAAAGACCTCTTTTGAGTGATGGAGAGCAAAGATATCTCCTTGAAGACTAAAGTGTGCCTGACAGAAGCCATGGTATTTTGAATCACCTCATATGCATGTAAGAGCTGGACAATGAATAAGGAAGACCAAAGAAGAGTCGATGCTTTTGAATTGTGGTGTTGGTGAAGAATACTGAAAGTACCATGGACCGCTAAAAGAACTAACAAATCTGTCCTGGAAGAAATGCAGCCAGTATGTTCCTGGGAAGCAAGAATGGCCAGACTTTGTCTTACCTACTTTGGTCATGTTGTCAGAAGGGACCATTCCCTGGAGAAGGATGTCATACTTGGTAAAGTGAAGGGTCAATGAAAAAGGGGAAGGCCCTCAACAACATGGATTGACATAGTGGCTGCAATGATGGGCTCAGGTATAGCAGGGATTATGGGGCTGGCACAGGATCAGGCAGTATTTCGTTCTGCTGTATAGAGGGTCGCTATGAGTCAGAGATGACGCAATGGTACCTAACAACAACAGCAGCTAGACCAAGAGATTAAATATTAAATATTGTCAGCCAAGAGAATTTTGTTAAATCCACAAGATAGTTTGCTGACATTCATCAGCTGCATGAATTTGTGTAGCACATATGGTTAAAATGAGTAATAAATGAACCTTATAAAATCTTATCAGTTTTTCCTCACCACAAAAAAGCTAATAAATAAACGCTGGATGTGAAAATTCTATCAAATACGGAATTGTAGGTTTGAAAACTAGAGAAAAATGTCTTTAATGAAGAAAGATCTAAAAAGAATTGCATCTACTCACGTAAGTGCTGCTCTAGCCAAATCATGTGGCATCAGGTCTTTATATCTGGGGAAAGAAAGCAAATAATTTCAACCAAAACCCTAGAGCTTTAATAAAATATTTTTCCATTCTATTTGAAATACCCAAAGGATATTTGTTAACATCTAATGATGAACTTGTCTCTAGATAAGTAAATCTGCTGGAAGCAAGCTATCTGGACTCACTTTAGAATTTCCAAACAGGGCTGTTCAAACTAAAAGTACACTAAGCTTGTTCATGAGAAAAAATATAAAACAAATTTTACCATGTTATTTCACTGCTCATTTTATTTTATATTAATTACATGAAAATGTTATCCAGCCATTAATCCACTAGCAATATTATTACCTACTGGGTTATTTTTACAAAAACCAGTTTTGGAAACGTCTCAAAAGAAGAAATAAATAACACTACCACTTGTACTTACAAAGTGCCTGACAGCAAAAATGGAATGCGAACTCCATCAACCACCACGATATTCCTTACGTTGGCCTTGGTTAAGGTCTTCTTTGACTTTGTCTGGGCAGCTTTAAGATAAAATTCAAAGAGCTATTAATTAAAATATATGAAGACAGATGTCTTGTTACATTTTTACAGACAGACATTCTAAGAAGAATTACATTATTCAATGCCACATTGCATGTGCCATTTAGCAAACCAGTCTAAAATTAAAAAGAAAGGCTAAGAAATTGATTAGCATTTACAAATTTCTAAATAACATTCAAGGGAAACAGAGATTATACCCAATGACGGGAATACTTATGCCATTGTTCATTTTTATCAGGTGTTTGACAACCTATCACATGAAAAGCAACCCATCTGCAGATAGGTCTCCCCTTAATATCAGTAGCGGCAGGACATTCAGGTAAAAAAGGGGTGGGAGGCGAGGCTAACTCTCAAGTCCCCTAGAGCCAGGAAAAGGGCGGGACCAGGAGCAGCCAGGACCACAGAGTGGCAGGTTTCAGGTAAGAATTAGGTAACTGAAGAGGGTACAGAGATTTCCAACAGCTAAGGGAGATAAACTTGTCTGTCAGTTTGTCATCCTGTAAGGCTTGTACATTGCTGTGAGGCTTGAGGCTCTGCCACTGGTGTTTCAGACGCCAGCAGAGTTGCACATGGTGCAAAGGTTTCAATGCAGCTTACAGACTAAAACAGACTAGGAAGAAGGAGGAGCCCATCCACTTCTCAAAAATTGGCCAAGGTATAAATAGACTATCAAGCATAATTCAAAATGCACCAAC